GAAATATTCAATATGGGTAGAAGAGTTAGTCGGCAGCTATATAAGTTTTTTTTATTTTGAAAAGTCACCTTCTGATTGTATGTGTAACATCATTGTATCGTCTTGCTGATCCTTGCTTACACCACGGTTACTAGGTTTAGTAACCGTGCTTACACTGAGAATTGTGCTCTCCACCATGTAGTCGTTAATCGCATATGCCAGTGACATTTGATGAAAAAAATGTCTATTTAATATTTTAATTATTTTAGTATTAGTCAAAATCACCCGACTATCGTCTGACACATTTTGTTCAATAATTTAGTTCAATTGCAAATTTATTTTTAATGCATAGACTTATAACAAGGGTTTCCGAAGCCCACTAAAATAGATCACGTTATGTTATCATTTAAATTTTTGAGTTTCGCACCCTAATTTAATGTTTTAACACTGTATGCCAGAAATAGATGTCTTTTCTGTGCAACTTTCTGAATTCGCCTACCCGGACTCGAACTCGCGTATTATCAACAAGAATTCCACGCTCCCAATTAGTCACCTTTGACTCGGCAAGCCACGTGTCTCGGACATGCGCACTTTGGACAAAGGCTTTTGATCCCTTAGGCTCACTTGAACTATTCCAAATAATAATCCTTCGCCTGACTTCACATGATAATAAAAACAGTTACATGTAATCATTTTTATTTTCTGTAAACATTATCATTGTTAATCGACTGTACGCTCTCCAGCATTGTAAATAAATGCAACCAATCAACTGCAGCTTATTTTTATTATTATTTATCACTATGTTAAAGGGCTTAAATTAAAAGGTACTAAGATGGCGTCTGCCTGATGTTAAAATTTCGTTTTGCTGCCGGAAATTATATCGATCAAAATGTTTAAGAAATTGAAGCAGAAACTTGAAGATACCGACAAATCGCCGGTTAAACCACAGTCCCCGAGGAGTAATGCTGCACAGGTGGGCATATTTGTCTCAAAATTGTCGGGTGAATGTACAATGTGGGCGTTCTGCAGAGTGGACAAGATTCAGGAATCGAACTTGTCAACCTAAGGCTGAACCATCACATTTCTTATATGGATGCGAATTTAATTAAGAGCCACAAGAAGAATAACGCGGAATATAGAAAACATGGATATTTTTGGGACACGGTAGATGTCAATGGGCGGGGCTATGGAATGACATAAATTGACGTTAAATAATGCAATTTCTGTGGAGTGCAGCGAGAAATTATATTCGAATCGTTATTGAAATTTGTTATCGACGTCGCGTCATGGTTGCGTCCCAACCCTAGCATGTGTATTTAATAAAAAACTAATATACATGTATTTATTCCCACACATCCATCTCATACAAAGTAGGTATTTTCCATTCAAGTAAGATTAATGATTAGGTTGACCGGAATGCATATAAACAAAATCGTTCATTTTGTAATGTGTTTCATTTCAGTCCCCTCGTACAAAATTCCCCTCTGGGCCAGCAAGAGATTCTGTTAACAGCAGAAGAGCCCCAGTAAGTAAATATTCACAATATGCATGAGACAGACACGAAAAATTACACCTCACATTTATTTTTATATTTTCCAAATTCCATATTTTGTATCAGAACCAGGTATTTCCCCTGTCAAACATGCATGCAGCTCTCTCCCTCCCCAATACATTTGTATAAACAGGAAAACTAACTGCATTTCATATTGCATGCACTTATCCACCAATGCTGTATGTATGAACTAATTGTCTAACATATTTCATCTTGTTTTAATAGTCTTCAGCCACTCCTAAAAAAGAACAGGATACTGTTCACCAACATGAAGGACAGGACAAAACACAAACAGATTCTGGTAAAAATGATCAGTTGGCAGCTGGGGATGCAGGGGCTACTGCAGAGGGAGAAGAATCTAAAGAGATTGTGCAACAGGAACATGGGGAACACACAGAGGTATGAAATAATTCACTTCATTCATTGATTCATTCATTCAAAAAATGTGGTGGATTCTTTGAAGTCATGTTATCAAATATATTTTGTTTATAGCCTTTGACATACGGGGTAGTATATGCCGACTACTACAATTATGATATATACGCATGATATGCAGGCCAGAAGTTGTTTTTAAATAGCTAAACACTACACATATTTTGGCTTTGCAAGGTTCATTTGAGTAGTTTCTTGTTGATATATGTAAAATATGCAGATGTCAGTATTTTTTATCACAATCTTCTTCATTATGTTCTATGTCCGTTGTCAGCAGGATTTACCCCTACTGTATGCTATTTGCATTTGGGGCCTACATTGCACTTCTGAACGTATAGCTTGTATAGTGTATTTAACAATTGCTTGCATAATTAAAAACATGCTCTCGACCAATCAGAAATATGTATTCAGACAATAAAATTGCTGGTATTCTGTTTTCTCTGGTAGGACCAGGCACATGCTGACAGTATTCAGAACTCCACTGCAAGCACACCACTTCTTTATAGTACTCCGATGAAGGACTTTAACCGTTCACGCAGTGATTCTCAATCCTCGTCTGTATCCGATAGCCCCTTTTTTCCGCAATATGAAACACCACAGAGAATGTACCAACCCTCGGATACTGAGAGTGAGATTGATGAACCGGTGGCGTACCTGGATCAATTTTCAAAGGAAGATCTTTTCTATAAATTTAAGAAAACGGACACAAGACTGCATCGATATAAAAACAAATTCCTGGAGGTATGTATTCAGTCTGTCATAGATGTTTTCATCATAACTTACAATTTCACTGATTGGAATATGCAAGTACAATTCCTGAATGGAAATGTATTAGCAATAGTTTCATTTACATATAATCATAGAAAGTGGTTTGTCATAAAATATTGTACATGTAATAAATTTATTATTCAATTTAATTTATTTATTCACCAGATCAAAATATATTTCAAATAATAATAACACAATAGCAGTATAGTATAATGGGGTAAATTTATAATGATAATAGTATGCAAAATAATGTGATATTCTTATTCCCATGTTGAGTAATTCAAGTAATAAACAATTGTATACATAGTGGTTTGTAAACTAACATGACCTCGATTGTACCAGTATAATATTTCTATGTTTTTTTCTTTTACAGGTGGTAGCTGCTTATAAAGACCAACAGAAAGAAAATGAAAAGATTAAGGTCAGTTTCAAATTGATTTGTTCTGTTTAATTTGTCTGTTTTTTACATATCCATTGGAATGGAGAACATCTACTGCAAAAGTAGTAGTTTTAACATTTGATTTCGCTATTTTGATTTTAGAAAATATTCATTGGGTTTTAAATTCAGAGGTTTCTATAATGAGTTCAAGTGAATTTAATTTAGCAGGTTTTTCTTATCGATAAAAATAAAAAAAATTATAACTCAGAATAATTAGTGAGTCAACAACAAAACCCCCATCCTACCTTAGCGATAGTCAGTGGTTAAATCTGATTTGCCATCAAAATTCATAAACAAATCAATATTAAATGTTTTTTTCCTATCAATGAATATAGAAAAATTTAAATGCAGATTAATTAGTGAGTTAACAGTGCTGTATTTTATTAATGCAGGTTGACACCCCCATCCCACCTGAGCGACAGTTAGTGGTTAAATCTGATTTTCCATCAAAATTCATAAACAAATCAATATTAATGGTATCAAAATGTAATGTGGGAGTAAGGGTTTTTAATTAGTATGGGTGATAATGCATTTATTAAAATGTGTTTACATATAAACATTTTCTATCATTTGTTTTTAATTATATTTTATGTCTCAAATGCATTTCCAGAAGTGTGGGCTTGTATTTTATGGCTATTCCAATATTAACCTTTTAATCACCAGACTTTCTCGCCCTTATTTTTCTGCACGATTTTTCTTATATTCTTTAATATTTATGGAAATGAACCCTAATTTTGGAGCAAACAGACAAAATTTGAGTTAATTTTCGGTTTTTACTCTAAAAAAATTTGGCTATTTTTGTCCCAATCTTCGAAAGAAAAGTGCAGTCTATAACGGGACTATTTTGTGAACAGAGAGAACTGGTGGTGAAATTTATTTATTATGTAGTGAAGTGTACCTTGAAATGATATATTTGTAAAACACAATAATTTTATAATAATTACAGTAAAAATTAGCCAGAAGTTGTGTTATGACCATTTGTATGAGTACACAATTCAGTAAATTATTTTATTAGTCGTTATTTAACCAATTACTGTTAATCATATCCTAACACAATAATCAGACATTGTACTCACTTATTAGGATTATTGGATTATACAAGCAACAGTTTATTAATATATTATTGCATTATATAATTTATATAGAGAGATATGCATTAATTAATAACTAATGACAGTGAAAAAAAAAAGCTTAACGTTTGCAGAGTTGATTTATGGAAAGTCAAACATCTCTGAAAGCTAATATAAGTCATTTATTCCTCATCTGTTCCCAGTAAAGCAGGCTTTTCAGTATACATATCTTATATGGTACATGTACATATATTGGCATTGTGTGACTGTGTGGTGGTATAACATATGGAGTGCACCTGCTTCTATTAATCTCTTCCGGTTATGTTATATCGTGATGCATATTTAAGTGTATAAAAATATTGTCTGACATGCAACATGTGTGCTTTGGGTGCATCGCTAATTTATAAACTATTTCACCACCAGACTTTCTTGCCCAAGTTTTTGTAGACTTTTTTTCTTATATTCATCAATATTTCTGAAAATGAACCCTAATTTTGGAACAAATAGACAAAATTTGAGTCAATTTTTGGTTTTGACTCACAAAATTTGGCTATTTTTATCCCAATCTTCTGAAGGAAAGTGCAGACTATAAACAGGGCTATTTTATGAATTTCTGATGAAAAGAGGGAACTGGTAGTGAAAAGGTCTGTCTGAGTGACTTTCTTTAAAAACATTTACTTATTTAGATGTTTTTAGTCCCCGTTCAGGCGCAGACTGAAAAGGGGAGTATAGTTTATATAATAATATTTATAGTAGTGATACTGAAACAAACCCAGGTCCTGGTAATATACAAAGACCTGAATTAACAAAGAAGTCACATTGTTATTAAGGTACATCAAGGTTTACTCAGATTTATGAATGCAGTTTCTTGAGCATGTATGAAACATAGCTTGGTTGCACTTGTGTACTCTGAGATTTTGGACCCGGGTCAATGAAAGTTTTCACTTATCAGTACAATACTAAATTAAGAGAAATCACTTTATGATGAGTTGTACCCTCATAGAGTACATATTAATTCACCTGTTTGCAGATGTTCCTTGTATTATTTTAACATGAGTATTTTATAATTAAATGACAGGGACTGTGACATTCATGTCTTGTTTATTTCTCTTGTCATTATCGTCTCCATAGATTTGAATAAAATGATTTTTAAAATTACACACTAAAGCACTCATATGCATATACTTGTTGTCTGTTGGTTGTACCATGAAACATATTATTTTGAACACTGCATGTATGAACAATAATGATGACACATGCTTGAGTGCAAATCCTGCTGGCATTCTGGTGAATTGCAACATGTACAGCTTGTCTTGATTAGGAGTTTGCAGTTTTTATGAATTACTTAGGCATTAATAGTATGATTGCCTAAAAAAAAATATTTCATATAATTTTTTAGTGTGTGGGGAAAAAAAACACTAAATAATATTTACTAGGCAATGATTTGTAGGCCATTGATAACAGAAAGAGAATAGCTGCTAACACTAAATGAGATTAACCACAAGTAACCAGAATTACCTTAGTCTTACCTGTACAAGTATATTGAATGGAGCCACTTGGTTATTTCTAGTCTTAGTAATTATGATTATAATAACAATATATATCAGTAAAATGTACATGTTCATATTTGTGTATGACTAATGTTGAATATATTGCATCTGTCAACTCATCTTCACCACTGTAATTCATGTTACAAATGGTTATAACGAGGAATAGCACTTGTAGTTTGTATTTGATTTTCTTTTTTTAAAATTCTGTATTTTGTTCCAGTCAGCTGGAAATAGAGTCTGAGTGTCTATTAATTAATCCAACACAGTTGTGACACTTCTCATTACTAAAAACATAGCACATACTTTCACGCTATTATTCATTCAGAATTACCAATTTCCTTTTAAACTTATGTTAATTGTCATAAATTACACTAAATGTGACTTGCATCTGCATTAATTATTCATCGCATTACCAGTACTATTGGCCATGCCCCATTAATAATGCATTTTCACCCTTTTTCCCCATGTTGCTGTCATGTGAATTAGTGAGATTAAGTTTGCATACTCACAAAATAAATTTGACATCAACATTTTTCATTTTAGGGCATTATGGCACAAACGCAGGACAAAGCATTACGAAGGATATCTGAGTTAAAAGAGGTAATGTTCTTCTGTATCATTTACTCTGCATGTGTGTGACCATTCATTTAAATTAAAATAAACATCTTCTGTCTGTTGTAACTCATACCAGTGATTGCAATGCATTTGACTTCCTCTTATGGTTATTTATTAGGATGAAATTTCAAATTCCTTGTGTTTTGACAACAGAAATCTCCACTTGAAAATATCAACATAATCCTTGTTAATGTTGTCCCATTTTGAGTCCTGCATAATTCCAGTACTAGTATGTGAATCTTTGCAATCCCTGTCTTATTTGACTGTTTTATAGTTTTGCAACAGAAAATAAATTAAATGTGATTTTGGCTCCTGTGTATTCTCCTAATTTGCATATTAACTATTTTCATCATGTTTTGTTAGTATGGTATCTTGAGATCAGTTTGCTGAAATGAATTTCAGCTTTTCACATGCATTGGGTTTTATAGTTGAATAGTAATCTGCATATTTTAATTACCTACTTTGCATACTAAATAACTACTTTTCGCATGTTTTATTGATATGCAACCATTGATAATTGTAGTTTGTTAAAATGTTTACTTAACATTGCTGTGTAGATGAATATCTGACACTAAATATAAATTTTATTTTGTATAAGAACGGTAGATTGTGCAGCTTCAGTTTTGAATCAATCTATAAGCATGGGGAATGGTTGTAATACGTTGGTTGTCTAGTCAACATAAAAGAATATTGAATTCACTTCACACCAGAGCACTTTCTAACATGCAGTGATTTTTGCATATTTATCTGCTTTTCAGTGCTATTCATGACTTTAATATCTGTACAATGATAACTATCGATACTCAAGCACACAATATAGTATAGTATGGTATGATAAAAGAAGCAATATTCACTTTAGGTTTAATTTTAGTCAACTGATTGATGTTGCAGGGATGTTAACTAGACTTGAGATTCACTGGCGGAGAAAACATCATACTCCATTGTTAACTTTGCATATTCACAGGGTTTTAATTTAGCAAATTTAACTATGTTGGGTTTTAAAAATCATATACCTTTGATTTTTCAATTTTTTTGTTTTACCAACATAACTAAGGTGATATGTTGAGGATGAAAATTCAATTTATGCATTTATTAAGTATGGTTAAATATTATGAGATGTTGTCATTCATATTGGATTACAACTGTTGACTAGCCCTATCTGAATCATATTGCAGATAGTGCTTGTGGACGGTTGATGTGTGTGTAATGTTTCTCTGTGAAAATTGTTTACAATATGATTTTGAGCAAAGGAATTGTGTAAAATATTACTAAAATGGAAAATATTTGCATTATATTCTGAACTTGAACACAATTATTAATAATTAATACGGGATCACAAGTGTACAATGTAATTTCAAATTCAAATATAGTGATACATTTGGTATGCAAGTTTTCAATGTTTGAATAACAAACACTGCTATGAAACATCCGAGCGATATTTGAATCTTCTGATGGAAATTAATAGGGAAATAGCAGTTTTCATAATCAGTTTATTTTGATACCTGCTGTATGCTTAGCCCTATTCACTATTCCAATATTTCTTCACTGCCGTGCATATCTTTCAGGAATTCTGTCATGATCTATAGAAATGTATTTCTATTAACCACTACTAATCAATCTTTTTAACATTTCCCCAAAATGTTCTTTTAATATGATTTTATTAACAATTACTAATTTTTTTAACATTTATCAAAAATATGATTTTATAGCTTGTTAATATCAGCACTGTGAATCAGGTGAGATGTTTGGAGTGATGGATGTATTTTACTAGCTTAGCCACTCACTGCTCCTCTCATAGTCAACCTTGTAATATTTATTGTAATCTGTGTGTCTTGATGTTAGATTTCATACTGCACTTTACGGTTGACATTCACTGTGCCAGTAAGATCCTGTCAGCAATTCTGTACTTCATTGAGAATTCAATCCAAGACGATTTGCTATTATGCTGATAAGTATTGACATCAGTCAAATTATGAGCAGGGTTTCTTAAGTTGACTGGATAAGAATTCTGAAAACTGAAATATTTGTGATTTTGATGATTTATGCATCACACATGATACAAAATTTAGTGTTTCCTTGACAACAATGAAAGCAGTTATGAGGTTTGACTTCATCCCTTCCTTTATTTAATCCCTCCCTGGGGCAAGGATCTAAATGTAGTTAATGATTTGCTTTGCATGTAGGCTGCTCAGTTAGATCGGCAAGCTAAAGTTCACTTGGAAGAGAATTATCAACTAAATCTAGAAGAAAAAGATGAATTGATAGGTGTATTACAAACACAGGTTAGTGTGTATGACATGTGTCTTTAATGTGGTCACCAGGGATTCAGTCATGGATCCACTAAAGTATTCCACCATACAGTGTCTTCATTGGGATAAGATTGTAGCCACTGGATTATATTTTAATGGTCTGCTGTCAACTCTTTGCTTCCATTTCTTGTGGTTAAAGCTCAACAGTTCATTGTCAGTGTGAATCAGTCATGGTGGTGTAGCTGCTCAATTCAAAATATCACTTATCTATCCTTCATCTCTCATATTCAGCCCCAGAAGTTAGAGTTAGAACTGTATGTGTAAGCTTTTGTACATGGACAGCCATGTATGTTGTATAGGACTTATGTAGGCGCTACTGCATGTCTTTTTGCACCGTAAGTGATTATGTGCTTCATCTCATCCCCTTCACTTCTTTCACAGATTATTTGTAGTTTATAGATGAGACAGTTTACACAGTGTAGGTTTAGATCTCTAGATTGAAAGAGATATGCATGTAATAGTATGAGAGCCACTTGGCATTTTCAATCACCATAAAAATTATGCTGATTATCATTTCTGAAACCATGTGTGTTTTGATATGACAGTGATCAGTGTGTGCTGCATGTGGTCTTTCAAACATTTGTTGAATTGCCCTTTACAGTTGAAAATGTTGTTATGCATTATGTGTACTTAAAACGAAACCTTGCATTTGCTATGCTGCATGAATATGTGTCTGTTTGTTGTTCAGGTTCGTCTTTTGAAACAAGGTATCAGTCCAGATGATATTGACAAAGCCGATGTTATGAAAGATGAAAGGGATGAAAAAATTAATACTTTAAAAGAGAAGGTCAGTGTGACTATATAACCTGAAATTCAAGTCTGTCAGAGTTATCGAAACAGTCCTTCGTGAGACACAGAAATTCATGAAACTTTCTCATGAATCTTAGTTTAGCTTTTTTATGTCATCATGTATCCACTCAGTTGAAAACAGGTAACATCTGCTAGATACATTAGTAAATAGAAAGTGGTAGTTTGAAAGCATAGACATTGTAAAATATTCAATATAACCAGATGCTATAGTCTTTCCGTGCAACAACTGAGTGTTCTTTGGTCCAAATGTTGGGTATATATGGAAATTGTTACTCAGTACTTTACTGTAATAGGTTAAAAGACAGGAAGGTTTGTTGAATAAATGCAAAGAGACCATCAGAAACAATAAAGAGAAGACTGCGCAACTGAGTAAAGAGAAAGAAAATCTTCAGAAACAACTCGATGATAAGTCAAAGGAGCTTCAGAAAGCTGAGGTAAGAAAATACTTTTCAATTAAAATAAATTTGTTTTCTTCTCTGAATGTCATCTACTAAAATGTAAAATTGTGGCATCATGGCTAAAATGTGATGTTTTTAATTGTCAGGAGTTGCAGAAAGAAGCCAAGTCTATGATTGAACAGTTAGAAAGTGATAAAGCCATTGGTATCGCCGAGGTGAAACGGCAAATGTTTGAAGAGATGGAGAAGAGGGATTCAGAGATCAGTGATCTCAGGAATAAACTGAGAAAAAGTGTGACTGAAAAAGATGAGATCCAACAACAGAAAGAAGCAAGTGATAAACTTGGTAAGCAGTCCATACTGAGAGCTCAACTTTCATGAATTTAGGGAAATTGTGTAAGGTGATGATCTCACTAGGTTTCATTACACAGTGACTTTCATGGAATTTTACTGTGAATATTTTACTGTGAAATCTCAAGTAATCGACTGTAATAGGTTAGAGTGATTCAAGATACATTGTTTCACAGTAGATTGACTTATGTTGACATGTATTATATGCTGGGTATCAACATTTTTTTTTCTAAAGTTCAAACATGAAAAATAATTAAAAACAGATTGATTTTATATCGCTGTGTCAAGAAATGCAATTCCAAAAAGTTAGTTTGTGCCAAATAAATAGAATAGAAATACTATGAGACAGATTGGTTGAATGCTCGATATTAAATTATTTATGTATAATATTTTCTTTGGGTGGTAGTGTTCCTTGAGCCAGCCTTGTTTCTTTATCAGACAGCTTTATATATTGTATGATAGTGAACTGGTCATAATAAAAATGAACTTGAAAACTTCACTCAATAGAGTTCAGATAACATTTAAAATTAATATTAATGTTTTATTGTTCTTTCAGTACTAGAAGTTAAGCAGCAGCTAGAAGCAGCTGAGAAGAGAGAGGATGAGGAGAAAACCAACCTAGTACAGGAATTATCTAGAGGAAAACAAGCTGTAATCTCTCTCATGCAGGTATGGAAATATGGCATAGTACAATATATGCCAGTGTTAAACCTTTGAATGCCAAAATCAACTGCATTCGACTGGTGGTCATTTTTTAAACAAATGGCATTCCAGAGCCATATTTGTGACATGCCTTGACAAATCAAGTTCAAACATCATGTTGAACATATGCACATATATTTGTTTGGCAATCAGATTCAAGATGGCCTAATTGCGGCCACTTAGTGTTTCTTACCGTTGAGCATGGACACACTTTATGATATATTTATCCTGAAATGTTGATCAATGTTCATTTGGTCTAAAGTAAACTAAGAATTTATAGAAAGATAGATATAGATAGATAGTGGACAAAATAATTGTGACAAAATATCACAAATACACTTGTGCTGCCAAGTCAGGAATTGAAATTGGAGTGATAACTGGCATTGTTAATGAACTGATAATGTTGTTCATTATTCTAGCAAGAGCGAGAGAAAATGAAGGAAGATTTATTGAAAGAAAAGGAGGATGCCTTGATGGAGAAGGACAGATTACAGCAAGAAGAACTGACAAAGAAAGATATTTTCTTAAAGGAAATGATTGCTAAAAAGGAACAAGAATGTAAAGAAATCATAGAATCCAAGGTAAAATGAATAATTATTAAAAATATAAATGAAATGTGTGGTAAGGTCAAAATAAGTTGTATTTGAATGATCCAGCTAGTACACAATAAATGCAACAATGTTATTAGTCCTCGTTCGGACGAAGTGGGACATATGCACATGCAGTGGTTTAGCAATTCGATTCAAAATGGCCGACTGGCAGCCATCTTTTTTTTGAAAATTTTGTATTTTGGACATGCTTTGTCAGTTGTCATTGATACTTGGTACATAGATTATACATGTTGGGATACATGTCCATGACGATTTATTTCGCAATTGGATCAAAGATGGTCGACTGGCAGGCATCTTTTTTTTTTTTTATGCAGTATCTTGGACGTGCTCTGACAGTTTTCATTCAAATTTGACACATACATGTACTTTTATACATACAGGATCTTGGTTGTGTGTGGACAGATTTGGTTTGGTACAAACATCAGACTTTATTGAAACTTTGATGCACATTAATTTGTTTTTCAGATGAAATTTAAAATGGTAAATTAGTGGCCATTTTATTTTAGTGAATGCAGTTACTTGTTAACATTATGGAGTGTTTGATGCCTACAGTTTATTGGAGTTTATTTAGTTATTTAATATTTTGATCAAGGTCTGAAGCCAATATAAAGCCACGCCTCTCAAATAAAAAACAAAGTTAGAGAAAGTGAAAATATTTAAAAAATACCAATAAAAAGCAAGTGAGTGTAGCGTGACCCTCAACTGTAAAGTATAAAGAATAATTCTAAATCAAATTCACTATTAAACAGGTGGCGGAATTTCAGATTGTTTTAATGTGCAGTTTTAGACTGATATTTAACTATACCAAAAAAATAACTAAGGTATTGTTGATGTTGCTTAGTGATTTAGTATTTTTTTCATCACAGGAGACGGAACATGAACTTTCATTACAGAGGAAAGAAGATGAATACAAGAGATTTGTAAAGGAGAAACATGAAGATATGATGATGGCGATTGAGGAGAGAGAATTACAAAAGACTGCTGCATTGAGTGCACAAGATAACAAGAAAGATGAATTACAACGAGTCATTGATGCATTAGAAACTGTGAGTGTCTCACCAGTATTCATTTTAGCTTAGTTGGTAGGATATCACAAATCATTCTCTGGCATTCAGTTGCTCCAATGCTAATCTCTTCATGCATTCTTTCATATGTCAGAACTTGTGTAATTATCAGTCATGATCTGATCCACTAGCAGCCATTTTTTGTTGTTCTTTATATCCATATCGATTTCACTGGTGCATGCCATATGACCAATTATGTTCAAAGCTTGTGCACAGACAGTAAATACACCATCTCTACAAACATTTCTATTACATGTATATTTGATGATGATATATTGTTACTGGTAAAGAATGCACTTTTGCTTGTTGTCAATGCTGTACGTTAATCCTTTGAGTGCCAGTCAACTTTCGTCACCTTTTGCAAATCCAAACCTCCATAATTTTTATCATATTTTTTCCAAAATTGTCATCAAGTCTACCAAATAGGAAATTATGGCTATTTAGTTCAAAATTATTAAAACAAATTATAGAAAATATTGGACCAACATTTTGTCACAGAAAATTTATGTTACCCACAGAGTTAAACATGTTTAAATATTAAATTTCTTACCATATTCTTCATTCTTTTCAGGAAAAACTTGAACAAGAAAGTTATATGCGTAAACTGAAAGACAGTCACGCTGTTGAGATCAAAGAGTTCAGTAATAAAATTGAAGAAATTTCCAAGCGGAATAAGAACACCTTTAACAAGCTGAAAGACCAATATGAGAAAAAAATTGAGGAGCTGCAGGAAAAACATGATAAGGAAATAAAGACTAAAGATGAAGTTACGAGGCAAGAGCATAAACAGTACATTGAAGAAATTACTAGAGCACATGAGGAAAAAGTGGAAACTATTACAAATGAACTAGAAAGTCAAAGCCAGGCACAGAAAGAAGAGATCAATCGGACTCATGAAAACGTGATTATGGAGAAGATGGATCAAATAAAGAAGCTTAGTGCATCTATTGATGGTCTGAAACGTAACAATGAAGGACTAACTAAAGATCTTTCTGATACAGAGACAAAGGTGAAGGAACTGGAGCAAAAACTACAGACTGAAGTGAATAACCATGTTGCGGACATACAGGAGAAGGTGGGACAGTTGCAAGAGCAGGTTTCTCAGAATGATCAATTCAAAGAGCAGGTTAATACACTCAAACAGAACATTGAACAACAAATGCAGGAGCATGAAAATGAAAAGGTTGTGTTGCAGCAGAAATTAGAAAAAGAAACAAACATTCTGAGTGATCAAGTGAAAGAAGGTGAATCAAAAATAAAAGAACTGGAGACACAACTAGAACAGTTGGGTGCATTGAAAGAGTCATTAGAACAAAGTCTTGCTGAGAGTTCTAAAACTGGGGATGAAGCAATAGGTGTTCTTCATTTGGAAAAACAGGAACTTGAAACAAGCTTGAAAGATCTTACGAATGAGATTCAAAAGCTGAAAGAGGTGAATGAAAGCCTTACTGTGAGTGTGGAAGAGAAAGCAAAAGAACTTGAGTCACAGCAGGATAACAATGAAAGACAGGTACAGCAGTTCACTGAGGAAAAGAACATGTTGCTGAAAAATCTTGAAGACAGAAGTAAAGAGAAAGAGGACCTGGAGAATCAGGTAAAGCTACTCCGAGAAGAACATGAAGAGGCGGTAAACAAGTTACATGGAAAGATACAAGAATTTGAATCTGATCTAATAAAACTGCATGAAGTGAGACAGAGTGAATCAGAGCAGAGTGATAAGCAAATAAAAACTCTTCAAAATGAGTTAGAACAAAGATCAGAAGAGATTAATAATCTGAAACAACAGACTGAGACCCTTGGAAAAGAGTTAGATGTGAAAATTAGAGATTATGATCATAAAGTGTCAGAATATGAACAGAAATTGCAGTTTCAAGAAGAACATCACAAGCATGAGATGGTTAGGAAACTTGAGGCTTTGGAAATCCAGAAACAGAGCTATGTTGGCGAAATTTCAACAGAGCTTGGAACTAAGTTGGAAGAAGCAAATGAGACCATTGGACAACAAGAGACTACAATCCAAGAACTGAAATTGAGGCAACAGGAATTAAATAATACTATAGAGAATCTGACTGCTGATCATGAGAGATTGATTAACGAGGTTGGTGAAAAGCATACTTCAGAGATTGAAGGTTTGCAGCAACAGATTGCTTCATTGCAAGAACAACTGCATCAGATGAATGAGAAACTTGCAGATCAGGTGAAATATCTAGAAACACAGCTTGAAGAGAAGAACTCTGAAATGCAGGCTGTCAATGAACAGCATGCAAAAGAAAAAGAACATTTAGAAATTCAGCTTGTAGAAAAAAATACTGAACTCGACAACTCACACCTGCAACACACTGAAATTGTAAACAGCCTAGAAACTCAGCTGGGAGAGAAGGGTACTGAAATAGCACAATTGATGGAGACTGTTGCTAAGAGACAGGAGGAGATGTGTGCTTATCAAGAGAGTGTTGAGAAATTAGAAAATGATTTAAGAATTAAAGAGGATGAGCTGTGTAATCTACAGCAGGAAATATCTAGTCTTAGAGAACAAACTGGTGTAAGTGAAGCTAAGTCAACTGAAAAGATTTTAAAACTGGAGGAGGATATAGCCAGAAATATGGAGGAATTGTCGAGTTTACGTCAAGAAATGTCAGCTACCGAAGGAGGGCTGCAACAAGATATTCGTGTTTTGAAAGAACAGGCAGAGACCATGGAAAAGAACCATGTTGAAGAAGTGGAAAAACTGAGGGCAGAGTATGAAGGAAGATTGCAAGAGGAAAAAGAAAGTGTTACCAGGAGACTCGAAGAAGTGGAGATGGAGAAGAAGAATAGTGTTGATGAAGTTACTTCTGAACTTAGTAGTAAGATTAGTGAACTCCAAAGTGCATTGCAAGAAAAAGAAGCCTTAGTTGAGGAAATGCGACATATTGAGCAGGAGCTTAAAAATGGCATGGACAATCTCAGAACAACTCATGAAACAAAGATGCAAGAGATGATGGGATTGCATGAGGAAAAAGTGAATGACTTAAATCATGAACTTGAAAAACTTAATCAGGAATTACAAGAGGCTGCTCAACAATATTCTGACGGTGTTGTGAAATTTGAACAAGAGAAGCATGGCAAGGAAATGGAACTCCGAGGGCTTCTTGAAGAAAAGAATAACAGACTTCTAGAAATTGAAGAAAGTGAGAAACAGCTGCATGAGCAGATTGAATGTTTAAAAAATACCCAACAAGAAGAAACTTTGTTGAAAGATAAAGAGTTTGAAGAGAAGACTGAAATGTTGACAACTGAGCATGAAAAAAAAATTAATGAACTTAATGAATCTCATAAAACCCAGTTCATGGAACTGAAAAACCAGGCAAAAAGTAAGATATCTACATTGAAAAAACAGATAGAGGACATCAACCTTCAGTTTCAACACAAAGTTACAGAGTTTGAAAAAATGGAAAAGTCCTTTCAAGAAATAAAGCATGAAAAAGTGTTGGTGACCAAAGAGAAGGAGGAACTCACTGAAAAACTGCTGGGTAAAATTACTGAACTTCAAAACAATACTGCAGCAGAACAGGAAAGACACGAGATGCTTATGGTAGAAAATGATAATAAACACAGAGAAGAGGTTACAAGGATTGAAAACGAGTTGCAGACTAAGATGAATCAGAGGGAGGAAGAGTTCAATAAAAAGTTTACAGATTTGCTGCAGGAGAAGGAACTGGGAATTGGAGATGTCACTGCCAGGATGGAGACTATGAGAAAGGAAGAGATGGAGAGGATATCTGCTCAGTTTGGGAAGAAGTTTGTAGAAGCACAGGAAACACACAAAAAGCAGCTACTTGAATTGAGGGACCAAGCCAAAGCAAAGATTGGAAGTGTGAAATCTCAGTTGCAGGAACGGGAAAAAGAATACAATGCAAAAATGGATGAAACTATAAAAGCTAATGAGGAGAAATTTGAAAACTTGATAAAAAAACATTCTGAACAAGTGCAATCGCTTGAAACTGCCCACCAAGAGAAAATCTTAGCATTTGAGAAGCAGAGTGAGGAGCAAAAGGAGGGTTTGAGAAATGAGTTTAAAAAGGATGTGGAAAATGTCAAAAGTGAATACCAAGAAAAGATGGAGAATCAAGAGAAAGATTATGTGAATCGCATCAACATTTTACAATCTGAACTAGTAGAACTAAAAGAGGGGAATGAACTTGCAGAGAGATTAAAATTACAGTCACAAGAACTCAAAGATCAGTCCAGGATCGAAATTGAAAACTTGAATAGTGAACATTGTAAGAATGTTAATGCTTTGAAAGAGGCACATGAAAGAAACATTGATGAATTAAGGACTAAACATAGTAGTACGTTGAAGGAAGCGAGTGAACAGCTAGAGACAAGGATACAAGAACTTGTTGATTCTAACCTTGAAATTCAGGCAGAATTGAAAACGTCACATGATCAGTTTGAAGATTTGACTCAGAAACATCAAATGCTGAGTGAAACATACAAATCTGAAATCTCAGAATGGGAGTTGAAACTTGAAGAACAAGAAAAAGCATTCTTTGAAGAGAGAGAGTCGCTGATCAAGCAGATGAAGGAACGAGAGCATCAGGCGCAGATGGGTTCACAAGAACTCCAGGGACATTTGCAGAGTAAGGTGTCTGAGAGTGAACGTTGCATGTCGGAGATGGCTGTAAAACACAGCATTGAGCTGGAAACACTGAAGCAGTCATATGAATCAAAGCTTGAAGACTTAATTCAGGAGCACACATCAAAAATACAGGAAATTGAGTTTCAAGGGACAGAGAGAGTAACAGAACTAGAAACCACATGTCAAGATTTAATGCAAGGGAAGGAGCAATTAGTTTTAAGCATAACTGCTAAAGACAATAATATTAGTGATTTAGAGAGCCAGGTTAAGAATCTTAGTGAAAAATGTGATATTACTGAAAAAAATAACTTTGAAATTTTGGAAAAGTTTGAAGCCAGACAGAAAGAAATAGAAGAACTTAATAAAAAACTTAACACTGCCAATGAGAGTATCCACCAATTTACACTTCAGAATACTGAAGATCTGCAAAAGAAAACTGCAGATGTACAAGATTTACAATCTACAATAGATGCCTTGCATGCAGAGAAGGTGAAAGCACTTGAAGAACAAGCAGCTCAGTTGCAAGAAGAAAGCAAGACAAAGTTAGCAGAACTGAAAAAGAAAGCAGAGACCATGATGGGTCAAATTAAGAGGCAACTGTTGGCTCAGGCTGAAGAGAAAGATAAAAAACTGTCTGAGTTTGAGGGCAGCGCTGATAAGATGAAAGAGACAATTGCAAAGCAGGAGAAGGATTTAGATGAGAGGTTATGCTCTGTAAGAGAATTGGAAAATAAATTAACTGCTGCTGAGCTTGAAAAAGAACAGATACGGATAAGTTTAGCAGAAGAACAAAACAAATTACAAACACTAGAGGAAAGACTGAGAGAAAAGGACGCCCTTGTGCAAGAAAGTCTGCAAGGTACAGAAGAGAAACAGAAAAGTGACGTTGAGAAACTTAAAACAATTATAGCACAGTATAAGCAGAAGGAAACTGATTCAGAGAAGATTGTGTCTGATTTAAAAGCTGACAACAAGAAGAAACTTGAAGAGTTGGAAGAGAAATACAAGGAAATAATTGAGACCAACAAAAAGGAGCAAGAAATAGAAATGAAGAAATTGAATGAAGATGTTGTGTCTAAGAAGGAAGATATTGAACAGGATCAGAATTTGAAATTGAAACAACTGCTGAAAGAGTTTAATATACGAATGGCTGAGAAGGAAAGAGAATTTGAAGAATCGTTGCATAGTGTTATAGGTATGTTATGTGTTCGTTGCTGATTATGAAGGTAGCTTGAGCCAATCTCCAAAGAAATGATAAAATCATATAAAGTAAATTTTGATCTGGTTTTAGAACTTCACTTCCGCAGTGTTTTTTTTGCAATTGCCTATCTTCAGAAATTGTCTGCAGTATATAACAATCCGATTGGTTAATGAGATTTTTATATCCATGGTCGACTTCGTCACTGATTATTTGTCAACTGTCGTGGTGCATGCCAACTTTTTACATTTTCAACGAATTTTGAAAACTTCAATTCTGATTACATTCAGACAGGTTTATGTCAAGTTGACTTCTCTCACAATTACTAATTTCATGATGATAACATCAATTTTCTAATTTTGGGAAATATTATTTTTGTTGAAAAGTTATATTTTTGACTTCTTTTCAAAAATGGCTATTCCAATTACTTTGATAATTTTTAGCTACGCTGTCATCATAGATGACATAGCGGAGCTGTTCATGTAGGTGATTGTAGATCAGTTGTTCACATTTTCGACTTCTTGGAAACTAGTAGCTCAATCGTTTTGATACTTGGTATGTAGGTACCTTGGGTAAACCTGTGTCAGATTTGTTCATTTCTGACGATATCTTCAATTCTTTATTTTTGGTGAATATTTTTGGTAAAAAATGCTATTTTTGACTTTCTTGAAAACTCACAGCTCAATTGCTTTGATATGTTGTGTGGACCTCTATCTGATTTGATCACTTTGTGCTGATATCAAAGATGGGCAAAGAATATTAGATTTAATTGAAATTTAGTTTAAATCCATGCTAAATTAAAAGTTATTTTGAGTATGGGAGTTTTACTTTTTTCTTTTGTGCGCAAAGAAAATGAACTGTTGCACACTGTGGGCATATATCATCTTTAATAGTTTACAGGAAAAAGGGATTGTGTATGGTATTTGACATTATGGGCATAATATATATAGTTTATACATGGTTACTAAATTAGATTTCCCAATGTACAGTACACTATTGCTGGTATTGTCTGAAGAGAAAAAAAAAACAATA